TCTTCATCGGTCTGGTAGTACATCGATCAGACCTGATGATGTTCATTATGAGATGTTGCACCATCTCTCTCCTACCTCTCTTGCTATTCTTCTTGTTATTTTTAACCGGATCTGGCACGAGCATATTTTTCCTGATGCTTGGCACCAGGCTATTGTCCTCCCTTTCTCTAAACCTGGGAAGGATCCCAAGATTCCTTCTAATTATCGTCCCATTGCTTTGATTAGTTGTCTTTGTTAAGGTCCTAGAGAGGATGGTTAATGCTCGTCTTGTTTGGTTCCTGGAATCAAACATGCTCTTCTCGCCCACCTAGATTGGGTTCCATTGACAGCGGTCCACCATGGACCTTCTGATTCGACTTGAAATGTCAATAAGAGAAGCCTTTCTCAAGAGAGAACACCTTGTTTCTGTGTTCTTCGATCTTGAGAAGGCTTATGACACTTCGTGGAGGTATGGAATTTTGCAGGACCTCCACTCCTATGGGTCGCGTGGCCATTTACCCATTTTTATTCACAACTTTTTACTGAACAGGCGATTCCACCTCTGTGTGGATTCCACTCTTTTCTGTTCCTTTCCACAAGAACTTGGAGTCCCTCAGAGCTGTGTCTTGAGTGTCACACTTTTTAGTGTTAAAATTAATGCCATCACTACAAATCTTCATCTGACTGTTGCAAATGGGCTCTATGTTGACGACTTCTACATCTCGTGTCAGTCGTCGAACATGAGGTTTATTGAGCGGCAGCTTCAGACTGCTTTCAATCGGTTGTTCACATGGACCACTGCAAACGGTTTTAAATTTTCTTTTTCCAAAACCGTTTGCATGCATTTTTGCCGCCAACAGGGTCTCTACTCTGATCCCGAACTCCGTCTTGGCTATATAGTTATTCGTGTGGTCACTGAGGCAAAGTTTATGGGGCTTATCTTTGACCGTAAGCTTAGCTTCATTCCACACATCGAGCAGCTAAGTGTCAAGTGTGCAAGGGCTCTGAACGTCCTCCATGTCCTCTTTTCCAGCTCTTGGGGAGTGGATCGATGTTCTATGCTCAGGATCTATTGTGCTCTTATTCGATCCAAACTGGACTATAGATCTTTGGTCTATGGTTCTGCCAGGACCTCGGCCCTGAAGATGCTGGACCCCGTTCACCATCTGGGGCTTCGGCTCTGCACCGGTGCTTTTCGCACTTCTCCAGTCCAGAATTTGTACATTGAGTCCCATGAACCTTCTCTTCACCTCCATCGTTTGCAACTTTCTTTACAATATGCTACTAAGCTTCGATCTTTATCATGGCATCCCACCTGGGATTGTGTCTTTCTTCCTCAGTGGGCAATGCTCTTTCAGAACAGACGGTCTGCTATTCCTCCGTTTGGCCTTCGTATCCAGGCACTACTGGCTGAATTGGGTCTGGCATTGGATGACATTGCTGTCCCCAATGATCAGCCCATTCCACCATGGCTTATTACCATCCCATCCTGTAATCTTTCTCTGAGTCATCTGGGGAAGGCGGATACTCCCAATTGGAAGTACCATCTTCTTTTTGCTGAACATCTTTCGAGCCATTCTTCTCTTTCTATTTACACAGATGGTTCGAAATTGGGTGACTTTGTAGGTTCTGCCATGGTGTGCTGTAGCTTGGTAGTTGCTCACAGGATCCCCCTCTACAGTTTGTGTTCACTGCCGAGTTGTATGCTATTTCTTTTGCCCTGGATCATGTAGAAGCTATGTAGTACAGTAATTGTACTATTTACACTAATTCTCTTAGCTCTTTACTGGCCCTGGAATCGATTAACGTTAGTTCTCACCCTGTTCACGTCGATATTCAACACCGATTGGCCCACTTTTTCTCTATCTTCTATTTTCATCCAGTTTTTCTGGTTCCCTGGCAACATCGGTATTAACGGGAACAAGCTCGCTAACACCGCAGCTAAGTCTGTCTGCTCTGGTGCCATCACGGCCGTGCCTGTCCCATACATGGACTATGGTCCTGTCACAATAGCCCACATTTTACTGTCGTGCCGTCGTTATGACCGTGAGCGGCGGCACAATTTTAGACACATGTTTTCTAAAAGTTTACCCCTGATGCTGGACATTGTCATTGGTAATGGTGACACTGTCTGATTAGATTGTATTTTTAATTTTTTACACACTATAGGTCTTTTTAATTCTATAAAAATCTTTTATCGACATGTATTGGTTTTAACTCGCTGTATTTTATACATTTTACTCTAATTTACTTTCGTTGTTTTTTCCGGTTGTTTGGCACAGATAGCCTCGCTGATTTGCACCATAAAGCACCAAACAACCAACCAACCAAATGATACATTATGGATTTTTTTAAATTAATTTATCAAAAAGAGTTGGTGAGGGGTTTGGCCCCCTAAATTTGTGCCTACTTTTACAACATTAAATACAGTTAATAATTTTTTTGAAATAAAATAGATGGAAGAGGTATGATGAGGGTTTGACCCTTTAGGACCTTTCACCTAAATTTGCACCTGTTTATACAACATTAATGAATTCAGTTATGTATTTCTAAATTGGAAACATAACACAGTGCAAAAAAAAACAGTAAATTTACACTTTATTTAATACTCATGTAGCAAGAGAGTAGACAGTTGGTGTTACTAGCCAGTTGCCTTTCCTTTAGTCAGTAGTTCAAAATTAGTGACAGTGGCAAATAGTCTTAATAGCTTTGCAACAACAAAGATGAGTAAATTTTGTGGCAATAGGAATCAAACTTGAGACCCTCAAATCACGAAGCACCCCATCACCCTCTCATTATGTAGCTTTGTGTTTAACAACAAACAAAAATAATCGTAATATTTCGATTACTTGATTATTTTTGTTCTGATCAGTTTAATCATAATTTCTATTAATTGATTGTTGGAATAATCGAGAATGGTAATAATAGGAAACACTCATATCTACAAGTTGATTCTTTTCTTGACATAATCGATTAATAGTAATTTTGATGAATTGATAAGTTTATGGGACACTAATAGGTAATTATTTATATTAATTAAACTACCCAGCTTTACTAGCAAATGGAATGAAAATCAGGTATGTGACATTATGCTATTGAAAATCATGTAATTTAGTTTATGATCATTGAGAGCAGTGTTAAGTTTCTATATTTTATGTTCTACTGGTTTAGCCCAAAACTCAATATTTTATGTGAATTAAACATTTTATAGATGAATTATATGAATTGTCACAAATACATGGAACATGTACAAAGATAAAATATTAGGAATACCGAGAACTTTTAAGTTATATTGTTAATATATTACTGGGTAAATTTGGGTCTGTTTAATTTACTTTTTGTCATAGAAGCAAAGTTTTTGTATTTTTCAAAACATAAACAAAACTATAACATGAGCAATGAATGAGAAAAAAGAATTAAAGAACTTATTATTTTTATAGCATTAAATGTATTAACTCATTGTGATGACATTTTAGCTATGATTTATGACCATTGATGTTGTGAATAAGAAGAAAAGTAATTTCTGTTTATTATTCGTGTAGACTGTTATGAAAATAAAAGTTGATAATACTTGATGAGTGACTCAGTTGAAGTCTGAAAGCTAATTGTTGCAAAGCAGACTTTGTAAAACTAAAAGAGTTGTAATACCTAATGATGAACTCAGTTTAAATCCAAAACCTATTTACTGTTGTGAATATGAAGAAAAATAATTTATGTTTATTATTCATCTCAGCTTCAAGAAAGACATGATATATGAATGATATTGTTAAGGTTTGATCTGCATTGCATGGAGTTAACTACTGAAAGAACCTCTTCCATAATGTCTTACATACCAGCTAGTGATGAGAGAACCATTTGCTTCTATTAATTTTTGGCTTTGTATATGGGTTTTAGAATTTGTCCTTGAATTGTTTAGATTTTTCTTTTCAGCCTTAAAGTACATTAACTTGAGTAAGCTTAATATTTGTTCATTGTATGAACTAAACTAAAAATATTTTTATGATTTTACAGATGATATCACTTGGGATGATTGCCCATTAACTCAGGCCTTAATTTTGGGTGAAGAAGGACATATTAAATGTAAAGTAACTAGTAACCCACCACCTCAGGTTATGTGGTACAAAAATAACCTGACTCTAGCAGAGGACCGCTATAAGCTTGAGAGTGAAGGGATTAAGATTGACAGAGTTGAAGAAATGGACAAAGGATTGTATAAAGTGAGAGTTACTGTAACACAGACTGGAGGACTACAGCAAAGATTCATAACTGTAGAAGTATATGGTATATTAGCGTTTTTTTTTCTAATGATCTCCTACTTGGAAATGCACAATTTAAATGGAAATATATATTACTGAATAATTTAGTAGGGTATTTTAACTCCTAAGATCCTGGAAATTTTGCAGTCATGTACTAATTTTAAAGATTATTAGTACAGTTGAAAATATTTGCCAGTTTAAAAGTCCATTAAGGAATTGAAATTTTTATTTGCAATATTCTAACCTTATCTATATTTGAAGTAAATAAGTAACTAGTTTCATTTTACATGCATTGTATTTCACTTTTGAAGTTTTTGTCCTGGCTAAACAACATATTGAATGTACTAATTACCTTTTAAACTGCAGTTATTATAATCGGTAATTTGTTACTGTGCCATATTGAGTGATCTTGTAAACATAATATAGATATATTAGTTTATCAGTGTTACAGAGGTGAGTTGCTTTTCAGAATTAGACTTCAGTATCTGTTTTATAAGGTAAAGTTGTGTTTGGTTGCAGTACCAAAATTAAATAATAGGTTGAACAATTGCCAAGTTTTTTTATATTTTTATTTAAATAAAAGTATAAAATAACTTGGCAATTGTTCCACCTATTATTTAATTCTGATATTTTCATTACCTATGTGATTTTAACTGTATTTGTCTTTTGGTTGCAGTACCACCAACAATAAAAGATCGACCTGACACTACAGAGGCTGTAGAAGAAGATTCTGCGACATTATCATGTTCAGCTGATGGATACCCAGCACCTATATTTTCCTGGTTTAACAAGGTAAAAATTTATCCCAAAAGCTTTAAAATGAAAATATGATGGCAAAATTTTGAGACGAAATGCTTACCATGGCTTTTGGCATATTTATACAAAACTTACAATACATTGTGTCTTGCATATCTGATGCATACCAGAACACTCTTTACACATCTTCCTCGCAAGACCAAAGTATACGAAGTTCTTGAGGGCTTGTACAATATGCACTTCAGCAAGCATTTCCCCAAAATGATGACCTTAATAATGTTTTATTGTTCTACAAAAATTTTGTGAACAAGGAATGCTAAAACTTAGATTATTGGAGATTATGTCTATCAAAAGGTGCCATTTATAATGTACATAAACTATGAGTAAAATTATATTATTTTTCATATCCAAAGCTATAAACATGCTCCCTATACTTAAAATTTTTAAAATACTCACCACCACATGGGTGAAACTCTACATACCTATTGAATTAATTTGAGTGTAAAGTTTTATCTAATGCAAACCAGGTATTTTTTTTGGTGTTTCTTTTAAAGCCATATAACAAATATATCTTTTTTTTCCCTTCTTTTGATAACAGGTTCTTATGGATAATTTCCTTTAACTCTCTCAACATGGGGTTGGTCAATTTGACCGAGTCACATAACCTTTTTGTACTCATTTAAAGTCTCTATAAATTTAATACTTATAATTCTCAATATATTGGGTATATCTTCATGAAATTTGGAAGTCTTTCAGTTAATATTACAAGTCTTTCACATACAAAAAGTCATATTTCTTAGTGAAGTATTTGTAATAAAATAAAATAAAGATGTGTCCATGAATATATTGAGTATTTGTTTTTAATAGTAAGTGTACAATATAATTTTCATGTTAAAATTAAAAATACTTTTCCTCATCTTAAAAACTCAGATTTCTTTTGTGTAATCCCTAAAATCTCTTAAATGCATTTCAAACGTTTTTTTTTCAGTAAAACTTTATAGTTTATCTGTTATTTACTCTACCCTATCTCAAAACGGGATCGGTCAATTCGACTAACCTTGTAAAAACAAAAACAAAATTGAAATAAACCTCTTTTTTTTTTCTTCTAGAATGACTTCAAATTGTAACATGAAACTACATTCGTTTATCCTAAGTAGCTCATTGTTTTATTGCACTTTGAACTGTGTCTAACTACTATCTGTACCATTATCAGTTGGGG